CATTCCAGAGCCTGGGCAACATAGTGAGACCCTGTCTATAGCGTAGAGTAGAATAAAATAGAATAGAATACCTATTAAAAACCCCATTCCTTTCAAGATCATAAACACATTCTAATACAATGATCTTTTTTGATATTGCTAATTGGTATCATTTACCATTACGGTTTATATAGCAATTGAAAGAATTTTATGTCATCAGAAATATTTTTAGTTTAAGCTTTTTGCTAACTTAGATAGGTTATCCTCTGCCCAACTTGCTCTCTGAATTACAGAGATTTCCATGACTGTGAAATTCATCTTGGAAGAGCAGAAGAACCATGAGAAGAAAAACAAAACAAAACAAAAGAGGAGCATGTAGAGATTCCGTGGTTTATGAGAAGGAAGCATCTTTTCATGTATTTGTCAGCCAAATGTTTGTCTTTTCTGGAGGAAAGTCTATTCAAGTCCTTAGCCTATTAATTGGGTTTTTAAACTACTGACTTTTAGGAGTTGTAATTGATTCCCTTGTTGTTGTTTAAACATGTTTTAAAAGTAAATACATCCAGCATTTACTGGATGAGTGAATAGATAAATGAAGCTGTGTTAGTCTGTTTTGGTTGTTAGAACAAAATACTTTAGACTGGGTGGCTTATAAACAGCATAAATTTATCTCTCTCCATTTTAGAGGCTGGAAATTCAAGCTCAAGGTGCTGGTAGATTCCTTGTCTAGTGAGGGCCCACTGTCTGGCTTGTAGCATGGCAGAAGGGAGAGCTCATCTCTGGGATCTCTTTTATAACAGTGCTAATCCCACTCATGAGGGCTGCGCTTATGAGCTAATTACCTCCCACAGGCTCCACCCCTTAGTATCATCCCGGAGAGGGGTAGGATGTCAACATACACATTTAAGAGGGGAGACACAAACCTTTAGACCATAGCAGAAGGTATCTCTAAGTAGACAAAACTTACATGCATAAAACATAAATAATGGGATTGGGTGCCAAAAAGAAGTGTTATCAATTGGATTTCAGAGAAGAAACTTTGTAAGAAAAAGCTCCATGAAGGAAGTGAAGTCTAAGCTGGGCCATAAGGAAATTAGTCAGTGTGAGAAAATAACTTTGTGTCTGTGTCATTTTTCTATTGCTGTGTGACAAATTGTGACAAATGTGGCTACTTAAAAGAGAACACATTTGCTCTTTTGCTGACAATTTCCATAAGACAAGAGTCCAGGCACCATTTGTCTGGATCCTCTTTTCAGAGTCTTGAAGGCTGAAATCAAGGTGTTGACTGGGTTGTGTTCCTTTCTGGAGTTTAGGGACCTCCTCACAGCTCATGAGGCAGAATAGAGTTCCTTATGGCACCTGGAGGCCCCTCTTTTTCTGCTGGCTGTCAGCAAGGAGCTGCCCACATTCCTTGCCATGTGGACCTCGAAAAGACCCTTGGGCTACAGAACAGTTTCCTTCTTCAGGGCCAGCAAAACAACATCCTACCTCTTCCACTCTCTTTTAAAGGACTCGCTCAATTAGATTAGGCCCACCCAGGAAAATCTCCTTTTGGGTTAACTTAAACAACTAATTATGAACCTAATTACATCTACAAAATCTCCTCACCTGTGTCCCATGCCTTACATCATCTTGAGAGTGATTTCTCCTCACCTTTGCTATGTTTTATTGGTTATAAGCACGCTATGGTTTCCGTCTGCTTTTAAGGGACTCATACAAGAGTGTGCGTCATAGAGGGTCACCTTAAAATCTTGTCTGCCACAGCATCTTTTTTTGAAAGTGGTTCTTTTTTAAAATTTTGTTTTATTGTGGCAAGAACACTTAACATGAGACAGATTTCTAAGTGTACAATGCATACTTTTTGAGTACAAGTACAGTGTTGTACAGCAGATTTCTACAGCTTATCCATCTTGCTTTACTGAATGAAACTCTATGTCCATTGATTAAGAACTCCTCATTTCCCCCACACTCCAGCCCCTGGTAGCCACCATTCCACTCTTGTAGTTCACAAAGTTGACTATTTTAGAGACCACATGTAAGTGAAAACATGTAGTATTTTTCTGTCTGTGACTGGAGTATTTCACTTAGCATCATGTCCTTAAGATCCATCCATGTTGTCACTGATTGCAGAATTTCCTTCTTTTTAAAGGCTGACTAGTATTCCGTTGTATGTATATACCACATTTTTTTATTCCATTTCTCTATTGATGGACATTTAGGTTGTGTCCACATACTGGCTGTTGTGAATAGTGCTACAATGAACATAGCAGTGTGAATATCTCTTCACAATCCCTATGTTAATTCTTTTGGATAAACACTCAGAAGTGGGATTTCCAGACTATGGTAGTTCTGTCTTTAATTTTTTAAAGAACCTCTAAATTGGTTTTCATAGCAGCTGCATCATTTTACGTTCTGACCAACACTGTACAAAGGTTCTGATTTCTCCACATCTTTGCCAACACTTGTTGTCTATTTTTTTTTTTTTTAATATAGCTACCTTGGCAGGTGTGAGCTGATCGCTCCTTGAGGTTTTGATTTGCATGTCCCTGATGATTAGTGACAAGGAGCACCTTTTCATGTATTTGTCAGCCATATGTTTGTCTTTTCTGGAGGAAAGTCAAGTCCTTAGCCTATTTCTTAATTGGGTTTTGAAACTACTGAGTTGTAAGTGATTCCTTTGTTGTTGTTTGAACATGTTTTAAAAGTGAAGTTTTAAAAATGGGCCCGAAGTATTAGATGCCAGGCTAAGGAGAATAACTTCTCTGTGCTTGGAGCTTTTCCTTGGGGGACCAGCTGTTCCTCCTTATTAAGGGAGAGGAAGGAGCCTCCAGTGAGCTATAATTAGAGACACCGCATCATCATCTTGATGTACTGTGAGAACTTCCCAGCCAGTCTCTTGGCTGCTGCTCTAGACTGTCTCCCATCTGCTTCTAGTCACAGTCAAGGTGATCTTTCCAAAACGCACATCTAGTCGTGTCACTGCTCCGCTTAAAATACTTCTGCTGACTATTGGGTACCAGAACCTGGAGGAGAACCTCCTAGGGTAGGGCTACTCCGTGTTCAGGTTCATGTCCCCACCTGTGCTCTATGTGCCTTTCGTCTGTGCCAGGGAGACAGTGGCACGAAGGATAACGAGGAAGGACGGATTTGAGAGAGGCTAGAAGGTGGAATTACCGGGGTGTGATGAGGAAGGGTGTCTGTTTTGTGCCCCTATTACAGAAAATATCTGAGGCTAAGAAATTTTTTATAAAGAGTAGAAATTTATTTCTCACAGTTCTGGAGGCTGAGGCGCCCTTAGCTGCTGAGAGCCTTCTCGCTGTGTCCTCGCATGGCAGAAGGTGCAAAGGGATAAACCGCTCCTACAAGCCCTATTTCCCGAGGCACGGATCCATTCACGGAGGCAGAGCCCTCATGATCTAAAGCCCCCATCAGACCACACCACACAACACTGTTGCTGTGGGGATTATGTTTCCAACATATGGATTTGGGGGACACATTCAGCCCATAGCAGAGGGCAAGCCTCCCCCAGGCTGGAAGTAGGGAGCAGAGGTGCAGCAGCACACGTGGGAAGGAAGGGGAGTTCAGTCTGAGGTTGCTGTAGAACACTACACCCAAGACGCTTTGTTACTTTGCCCCGTACCGAGGACTGTGGGATCTAGAAAGGAAGTGCCAGGCATGACCTCTGCGGAGATGAGAGTGTACGTTGCATCAGGAAATGAGAGATTCATAAGGGAAGAGGAGCAACAGGAGAGTATCATGAGAGGTGGACTCCGGAGATAGATGGTAAAGATGTAAGTTAATAGCTGAACGAGATTGTTCCCAGTCCATGAAATGCCCGTAAAAGTAATGATAAGTCAGAAGTTGGTTTTTAAACGGTGGGTGACATTATTAGGGGCTAATTTGGGGAGGAGAGGCTTCAGCCTTGTCCTGGTTGGCTCACATTGGCTTTGTTTTTCTAGGTGTTGTCATTGAACAGTTTGGTTATCAATCTGGCCGTTCTTTTGTGCTTGATTTGGGCTGTATGGAAGTAAGTAAGTGTTTCTCCTACTGCTGTCTGAGTGTCCAGCTTCCTCTGGAGTGTTAGGCCAAAACGCTTTTTAAGCTGCCCTGGTCTGCCTTCCTGAAGGAACGTGGGTACTGCTTTCCATCTTGATGGGAGATGGAGTCCACTCTCTGCTGATCTCTCCTCCTCTGTGACTAAGTGAGTCCACCGTGTCAATGTCCAGTCCGTTTCCGACTCATCTTGTCCTTCACTTTTATGCTACCATTGTTTTGGGCCTGTGGCTGGTGCCAGTACTGCCACAGCAGCAACCTGGCTCCTGCTGGTACCGACTCCGCCTCCACCAAGCCTGTCCCACCGACTCGGCCCCCACCATGGGGCCCTCTGCTGGCTGCTCTTGTCCTTGCTGCCTGCGAAGTGCTTTCCCACTTGGCACACAGAGACTGTCATTGAGAGCGCTGGGCACCACTGTTCACACTTCATCAGCTGCTGAAGTTCTAGCCTGGGTTCCACAGCCCTCAACTTAGGGACACGGCTTCTGCTGAGGCCTGTAGCAGGCCCGTCCCAAATGAGGAGCAGCTGTCAGAGGCACTGGTGCTGATGTGCTGCCTCTCCCCAGGAAAGCCTACAGATCTCTTGGGTCTTTCAGCACTTTGCCATCTCAAAAACTGGGTACCAATGCATCAGGTTTGCCCTCCCCGCCCCCAGGAACCAGAGTCTAAACCCCTTCAGCGGGGTTTAGTTGGGAGGCTAAGTGAAGGTTGTGGGCATATTCTTTGAATCTACTTGCCTTGGACCTAAAAGTGTGAGGGGCCAAAATTTGAGAGGTGAAAAGCCTCTAAAATAAGCTCTTGGAAGTGTATGTCTTACGTCTTGCCCTTAGTGACAGGTCGTTTCTTCACGTCTTCCAAAAATATTCATCTCTCAGGATGGGATCTGTCCTCTTCTGATGATGTCCCAAGTCCCTTGGAACTCTGGCCCATTGGATCCTGCTTTTAATTAGCCTGGGTAATGCTAGGTGATGGACTGGGGGGACACATTCAAACCCCAGGAGAGGGTGTGTCTGCTCCATGCCTGGCAGGAGGGAGCACAGGTGCAGGAGCAGACGTGGGAAGGAAGGTGAGTTCCCCCTGAGGTTGCTGTAGAACATGACACCCAGGCATCTTCCCCTGCTGCACTCCACCCACTTCCGTCAATGGAGGTTTATTTGCCACTTATACACTGCTGTCTGTCCTGTAGCTATGGCATCCGAAACACAGGTCTTCTGTATTAGATTTTTTTTTGGCCAGGGCTGGGTTTGAACCCAGCAACTCTGGCATATGGGGCCAGTGCCCTACCCCTTTGAGCTATAGGCACTGTCCTCGGTATTAGATTTTTAGAGCTGCCAAAACAAGATGCTGTAAATGGCATGGTTTAAAACAACAAATATTTATTCTCTCAGGGTTCTGGAGGTTGTGGGTCTGAAATAAGGGTGTGGGCAGGCCTATCTTTTCTTTGAAGGCTCTAGGGAAGAATCCTGCCTTATTCCTGGGTGGGTTCCTATGGTTGCCCGCAATCCTTGGCATTCTTTGCTTTTAGACGCATCATTCCAGTCTCTGCCTTCACCTTCACACGGCTGTCTTCCCTGTGTCTCTATGTCCAAGTTTCCCTCTTCTTATTAGGATACTAGTCATTGGATTAAGACCCATCCTAATCCAGTGTAACCCCATCTTAATATAATATAATAATCTCCAAAGACCCCATCTGCAAATAAGGTCATTTGCTCAGGTACTGAGTATTAGGACTTTGATATATCTTTTGGGGAGACATGGTTTGACCCATAGCACCGTTCAAAGTTGTGGCTGAAGAAGAGAGAGGTAAAGGAAACACCCCCTGGCTCTTAACAGTCTCACTTGAGAAGTGATGCAGGCTAGTTTTGTTCACAGTCCCCTAGCCAGAATATTGTTCCAGCATTGCTACAAGGGAGGCTAGTAAATGCAGGGGCGCATTGGGTATCTGGTAAACATTTCCCCTCCCTGTCACAGCCTCGCCCACTTCGTTTCCTCCGATCCCAGAATGCTCTGGTGCACACATGAGGCAGGATCGTGTCTATGTCTATGGAAATATCTATCCAGCAACGCCACCAGGGTCCTGCAAAGCATGTTGAAGGAATAGATTTGGAAAACTGCCCGAAGAAAAGAAAAACAATAGCTCATATAATGCGTAGAACTATTTTATTTTTGTTTGTATCCTCATCCAGAAATTACAAAACAGTGGTCAACAGACTGGATCTATTGCACAGATGTGTTTTTGTGTGGCCCACACAATGCTTGAGAAACATGGACAAACAGCTACAAACGTACCTGGATTCACCTTAAACCAGTTGAGGGGTCCTCAAACTTTTTAAAC